CTAACAAATGTCTTAAGCCTCCTCCCTGCTTTCCCCAATCTTTTCTGTCTGTTACTTAATGATGTACAAACAAACGCTTAAAAATACAAAAGGCAACCCAATATTTATAGGACTCCTTTGGGAACCTTTTTATAAGCTGAAGAGTCCTTTCAAAATGTGGGTGATTCCTCAAGAGAACAGACTAGAAAGTCCAGAAATAAACTCAAACGCACACAGGAATTTAGTACATGCTAAAGGTGGTACTAAAATCCGTGAGGAAGAGAGTGTTGAGTAACTGGTGTTGAGACAAACTACGTAGAAATCCAGAAAAAAAGTGAAATTGAATCTACAATTCACATTTGACCCAAAATAAATTCTAGATGGATCAGCGTTTTAACATGGAAAATAAAACCATGTAAAAGATTTGAAAAAAAAGCATTCCAACCTGTCACTTGAGCTGACATACACGCTAAACAATATCCTTGTGACAAGTCACAATAAAATTGTGGAAACTGATAGGAAAAGCAGGATCCAACCCTTTCACTGAGGCTGGAGAATGATTTGCTCAGGCAGGAGAGAGAAAAGCTAAGAGATATTTTATACTTACATTTTGTCATCATAGTAAAGAGCTATAAGGTTAGTTATGTAATCAGTTATGTCATACTTTGGGGACAGTAGTAGTCCTGATGGAGACTAAGGGAGAGGTGTTTGATATAAAAGGTGGGACCATATTGGAGAGGACGTCGAATGCCCAGATGAAGAGTTTACCCTTGGTTCTCTTTTACTGGGAGTCTTCTGGGGTTTATGAGCTAGGGTGCAGATTCTCAGCCTCTGCACTATTTGTACTTTTGGTCCGGTAATTCTTAGTTATGAGAGGCTGGCCCTGTGCCTCATGGGATGTTCAGCATTTTTGGCTTCTCCTTAGTATATGCTAGTAGCATCTTCCCCTTTTCCACCTGAGACAACCAAACTATTTCCAGAGGTTGCCAAATGTCTCCTGGGGAACAGAATTACTATCAAGTAAGATGTATTGATCTCTAGAATGACTGAATAATTAGTATTTAAGAAGGACTGCCCAGGTCTGGCCCAGGTGGCTCAGTGGTTGAGCTACTCATGAAGCAGGATATCATGGTTCCATTCCCTGTCAAGGCACAGGCCTGGGTTGCAGGCTCGATCCCCAGGAGGGGGCGTGCAGGAGCAGCCGACCAATGACTCTCTCTCATCATTGATGTCTCTATTTCTCTCTCCCTCTCCTTTCCTCTCTCTAAAATCAATAAAAACATTTTTTTTTTTTTTT